GCCAGTTGAGCTATAGGCGCCGAGCCAGGAAGCTGAGAACTTTGATGGATTTAAAAGCCATAGTACAGGTTCAGCGCCTGTAGCACTGTGGTTATTACAGTGCCAGCCACATACACCAAAGGTAGCAGATTCAAACCTAGCCCGGGCCAGCTAAAACAGCTAAATAACTACAACAAAAAAATAGCCAGGTTATGACAGGCACCTCTAGTCCCTGTTACTTGGGAGGCTGAGGCAAGAGAATCACCTAAGCCCAGGAGTTTGAAGTTGCTGTGAGCTGTGACGCCATGACACCCTACTGAGGGTGACATAAGTAAGACTGTTTCAAAAAAGTAAAAAAACAAAAGCCATAGTGTAAACTTACCAACATTGTCACCTTCCCCCCCCAATACTACAAGCTACATTGTCCCCCTCATAAGTTCTCACTGTGTAAGATTCAAACAATATAGAACATATCAAAATTCTTCAGCTGGGTCCCTCCCAGGACCAGAGACCTCCATATGCCAAATCCCCTTCTTGTTTTAATTTGAGGTTAAAGTTGTCACCTTCATAATTTCTGGATTTTGTGTATTGCCTAAGGCTAAGATTATAAAATATTTTTATGGTGAAGGATTTATTCTTAATCCATGAGGAATTTTATTTTGGAGGTGGTATAAAACAGCAGTGTAATACTTCAGGTGGGCAGTCAGGTGCCCCAAACCATTTGCTAAGTAGGCTCTTTTCCTGTTTCAAAATGCTATGTGAATCACAGATAAATTCTAAGTAATAGGTCTACTTCTAGATTCCCTTTCCTAAGCTAGCCATTATTTGCTTATTCCTCTGTCAATACTATATGGAATTGACTGGAGTTCTTTTGATAAACATGAAGCCCTTATTCCTTCTCAGATTTTCTTGGCTATGCCTGATATCCTGAATCCCAGAGACACAAAAGTCTTAAGTTTTGCAATCTAAACCCATGTCACCAGGAGGTACAGGCAAGGTGACACAGGTTTAGAATGGCCACCTCCTGCCAGGACATTCTTTGGTGAAATCCCTGCAGTCACAACCAAAAGTTTACTGCAGTGAACAACCCTGTGGTCTGTAGAATTAAGCCTGTGAGGGTTTGAAATGGTGCTGAAGGGGGACCTTTGAAGAGAAGGAAGCAGCCCTAATGGAAACAGTTAAAAATTAACAGAACAAAGTATAGAGAAGTCAAGCAAGAGAAAATTGGTATTTCAACAGAAAAGATAAACTTAGATCTAAGAATGGAGACAAACAGGCAGAACCACAAGTCAGATGGCACTAGCACTGACCACCCCCACAAGAATTAAGATGTAGAGATTAAGAAAGAATGTTACAATAGGAGCTAAAAATAGGTGTAATTTACAGAATATATAAAAAGTTATAGAAGAGGTGGTGAGCCCTTCCCCCCATCCCTGTACTTTGTCTTAACTTTGTGGAACTTTTTTGTATTTCAATAAACCCTGAGTGTTTCAACATAGTATGTGGCTCTATTTAATCCTGGTTGTCTGGCTCGGCGCCTATAGCTCAACCGGCTAAGGCGCCAGCCACGTACACCTAAGGTGGCAGGTTCGAATCCCCAGCCCGGACCCGCCAACACAACAATGACGGCTGCAACCAAAAAATAGCCGGGCGTTGTGGCGGGCGCCTGTGGTCCCAGCTACTTGGGAGGCGGAAGCAGGAGACTCGCTTGAGCCCAGGAGTTGGAGGTTGCTGTGAGCTGTAATGCCACGGCACTCTACCCAGGGGGACAGCTTGAGGCTCTGTCTCAAAAAAAAAAAAATCCTGGTTGTCCCATATGTGCAGAAAAGAGGTTTCAGTTGAGAAACTCTGGTTGGGGTGGAGCCTATGGCTCAAAAGAGTAGGGCACCAGCCTCATATACTGGAGGTGGTGGGTGCAAACCTGGCCCGGCCAAAAACTGCAAAAAAAAAAAAAAAATGTTGTAATCCCTCTGAGAAACTCTGGCTGGGTTCCCCCCACATTGTCTTTCAAAGGGTATTTCTCAGAAGGAAGGTGATCGGCAGCCCAAAAAGATGGCAACCAAGGCTTTTTCCTAGGAGAGGTGGTCATTCTTATAACAGGGAGTGGTTCTAGCAGAGTGCTTTTTTTGGCCCTTGTCTGTTTTAGTGTTTGTTGTTGGTGTGTCTTTCAATTCTGTCTGACCAACCAAAAATCTGTATTTTCAAGTTCCAGCACACTTTCAGTGCCACAATGTCATAATTCTACAAACTTTAGACAA